CCCCCCAGTCGACTGGTATTGTCGCAATGGTTTCTTGTTCTCGTTGTGCCAAGAAGCAGTTGCCTTGCAAGCTGTCTTCTTTGAATCAAAAGTGCGCGAACTGTGTTCGTGCCAATTGTGCGTTGTGCGAACCGGAGAGTCAACCTTTGCCGGATTTTTCGAAAATTGATAAGGAGATGTCTCGTCTGGAGAAGATGGAGGACGAGGAAGAGGCTCGTCTCCGGGTTGAAGAGGATATGGCCGAGGCGGCCTTGTTGCGTGCGCGGCAAGCGCGAGAGAAGTTATCGCGTCTTAGGAAGCAAAAGAAATTGCTTCGTCGCAGGGAACAGGAGTTGTTTGACCGGGGTCTTTCAACAGCGGAAGAGCTGGAGGCTCTGGAGCAGTTGGAAGAGTTCAACTCTAAGTTGTCGTCGGCTAACGTCGAAGCTCCTTTGGGCGCTGCTGTTGTGGACTGGTCCTTCCTTTGGAACATTGGTGATACTGGGCCAAGTGCTGGCGGCAGTTCGTAAGGTTTGTTTTTGGTTCCCATGTGTTTTCGCTGTTGGGGTATCCTAACCATTTGACTAGGTATTCAGTTCCTTAGGTTGTTGTTTGGTGTGCGAGGATTTTCTCGACTTCAAACTCGTTTTCTTCTTCGGGTTCATAATGAAATGTTTTTTGTAGTGGCGTCTTGGGGTCTGCTGGTTCTAACAGGCTAATGTGGAACCTTGGGTGTATCTTCGCGTCTAGTAGTAGATCAAGTGTGTACGTTACTGGTCCTTTCTAATCGAGAATCAAAAATAGTCCAACCTTAGTGTGATCTAGTCCTTTGCTTGGTCGTTTTGTTCAAAGATTCTTCGTGAGTAGGTATACTCTATCCCCCTTCTTTAGCTAAGGTGCCATTTTTTGTTTCTTGTTAACATATAAGATGCTCTGTCGTTGAGCGTTTTTAAGTGCTTTTCGTAGTTTTTCATGTATTTTCTTAAGTTCTTCAGCCGTGGCTATAGCTGCTTCTGTTTTCTGACTTGGGTATATCCTAGTAAAGAGATTTAGGTGTCTCCCGTGGTTTGCGTAAAATAGTGTTTTTCCTATTAATTCCGATGTTTTGTTGTTGTAGGCAATTTATGCCATAGGTAGTAGTCGTACCCAATTGTTTTGTTGGTAGTTGACATAGATTCTAAGGTATGCCTTCATTGTTCTATTGGTTCTTTCTGTTTGTCCGTTGGTCTGTGGATGATATGCTGTCGATAGTTTCCGCTTCGTGCCTATCGCGGCTCATAGCGTTGTCTAGAAGTTTAATGTAAAGAGTTTGTCCCTGTCACTTATAATTGTCCTTGGTATTCTGTAGTATTAGATAATTCTATCGTTAATGATATATGCAAGGTCTACTGCTGTATAGTCCTTTCTGAATAGTATGTACTCTGCTTGTTTAGTAAACCTATCCACTACAACTAGTATTGCATCGTACGCGATCTTAGTTGCAGGGTCTCTTGAGACTGGTAGGCCTATAACAAAGTCTATGGAGATGTCTGCCCACGGTTCTCGTGGTAGCTCTTGAGCTTGCATTTCTCCGTAAGGTGCGTAAGTACTATGCTTGTTTTTCTTGCAGTCTTCGCATTTGGCGATGTAGGATGCAACTTTGTCTTTTATCCTGCTAAACTAGTAGTTTCTCTGGATTAGTTCTATTGTTCTGGCGATTCCTGGGTGCCCGTGTACAGGATTATTATGATGTTCTTTGATAATAGTTTGCTGTACTTCTTTGGGTACGTCGTTCCCAATTTTCATAATAATGTTAATTTCGTGTGTGGGTCCTATTGTCCCATCTTTATTAATCTTAAGTATAGGTCTATTAATTATCGTTTTAGTTCCTGCGATGTCGTGTCGTTGACTTAGAGCGTCGGCTCGTCTGTTTTCCTTTCCTAGGGTGTAGACAATCTTAAACTTATATTGTCCTAGTAGTTTAGCCTATTAGGTTTGTCTTTAATTAAGTACCTTCGTCGTAGTGAAGTGTATTAGATTCTTGTGATCCGTGTAGATTGTGAGTTCTAAACAGCTTTCTGCGTATACTCTCCAGTGTCGTAGACATTCTACAATAGCTAAGAGTTCCTTATCGTGTACGTCGTATCGTTCTTCTAGTCCTAAGAACTTTCTTAAATAGTATGCAACGGGGTGCCATTTATCGTCTATGAGTATGCTGGCGCAGCCTCCTAATGCGAGGTCTAATGCGTCTGTTTCAAATTTCGTAGGTAATCCTGGGATAAATATCCTAAAGCATAGTAGTGTTATGCATGCTTTCTTGAGTGTCTGGAATGCTTCTTCTGTCTTGCCATCCCACTTCTATGGGGTATCTTTTCTAGTTAGTCGCGTTAACAGTATTGCGATTTTAGAGAAGTCCTTAATAAACTGTTAGTTGAAGTTCACGAATCCTAAGAATAATTAGATTTCCGTGACTGTCTTTGGTGCTGGCTAGTTTTTGATAACTTCAATCTTTTCCTCGCTCATTTGTACTCCGTTGACCCCTACCACGTAGCCTAAAAAGTTAACCTTAGTCTTGTAGAATTCACACTTTTTCAGCTTAAGTCTAAGGCTGTACTCGTCTAGGGCCCGTAGTACCTGTTTAACGTGTTTAGTATGCTGTTCCTTGTTCTCTAAGTAGATTAGGATGTCATCTAGGTAGGCGATAACGAATATATCTAGATAGGGCCTAAGTACGTTGTTGATGAGTTCTTGAAATGTGGCTAGGGCGTTAGTAAGCCTAAACGGCATAACAGTGTATTCGTAGTGTCCGTATCGTGTTCTAAAAGCCATTTTCTATTCTTCACCTTTCTTGATTCTAATAAGGTGGTATCCGTCTTGGAGATCTAGCGCCGTGAAGATCTTTGCTCAAGACAATCGATCCCTAAGCTCGGTAATGTTCGGTAGTGGGTATTAATTCTTAATTGTGATGTCGTTAAGTTGCTAATAATTAACGCATAGTTAATCTGTACTGTCTTTCTTTGGTACAAACATAATTAGATATCCTGCTAGTGACTTTAATAGTTGTATATATCCCTTAGCTAAACTCTTGTTAATATACTTTCTTAGTACGTTAAGCTCTCTTTCCGATAATTGATATATGGGCCCGAAAGTCGGTCTCTTTCCTTCCTGTAGGACTATCTCGTGGTCCTAGGGTTGATGCTTTGGTAACGCTTGGTCGTCTACCACTTCCTAAAATAGATGTTCGTATTTTCTGTATTGTTTAGGGATCTCTAGAGTTGCGCTGTTCTCCTATACTCTAGCTTCGTGATCCATTGGCCTAGTTTCGGTATCTGCTGAGTTTGGCTTCCTGCTCTAGGAACTACCTGTCGAGTTCGCTCTCTTTTCTGCGATATTACACTACTTGGCAATATTACTCTTATCTACTATTAGACTCTGCTAATGCGTAGGCTAGCTTGCGGTTGCGTCTATTCCGCAGCACTTGAATTAGAACACCTTCAACTTCTAGTTAATCCGCGGGTTGTGTTCTTATAGCTATAGGAGTCCTAAAATGATGTTATAGGTAGCTAGTCCAAAGACGTCTAGGTCAATCTTCTCCTTATGCTCTTAGATGCTAAGTGTCACTTGTCTAACCTCATGTGTTATTTTTTCTTTATTTAGCATTAGTTCGCTATTAGCAACGTGTAATAGGTATAGCTATTATTTCTATAGTTAGGTAAGTCTAGCTTTCCTAACTGCGTGCGCTAAAACATAGTTCGCCTGTGATCCTGAATCCACTAGTGCCTGCATCCATTTTCCGTTAAGCTCTGCTGTGAGCTTTATTAATCCTAGGGGATTTACTACATTAATCTCCCTAGAGGGCCCTAGCTCTCGTGGCGCTGGCCTAAAAAGACTTTACTAGGAATCTGTAATATTCTTTGGCTAAGACATGTGCGTCGCAATCGTCGCTAAGGCATGTCTGCCAGTCTTGTCGTTGACAGGCGTACGTGTGATCGTCGACGTACTTTGTCTGGTATACTGTCTGCATCTGTATGACCTCTTGTGGGTCGTCATGGCCTAGGAAGTGCTTCTTGTCCCTCTTGTCCTATAGATGTTTTGGGCACTTGTCGTCTACGCATTTGAACTAGTGGTATTTGCACTTGGGGTATTCTTGGATGGTCTTAGGGTTCTATCCTGCTTCTTGTTTGTTGGAGTAATAGGCTAGGCAGTAGGCGGCTAAGCATGCTGTCTAAGAGAGTTTGGCATGGTGTGCATTGCGTGCGTCGTACCAATACCAGATGTTGTTGTCTTGCTGTTGCCTGGTGGCTTGGTACTCCTTTTGGGATTGTTGCCAAGACTCTTGTGCCTTCTGCGCCTATCGTGGCGTGCTAGGTGGAGTTATCTATTGTACTAGATCCCATTGGGGTTCTTCTTGGTTGGGGTTAAGCCCTGTCGGCTTTGGCGTAGCGGGTTGGTTCTTTTCCTTGAACCTGGCCATTTTTTTATGCTTCGTAGGTGCCGCGGGAAATTCCTGTTCCTCTGCTGGCGTCTTATATTCCTTATCGCTAAGCGGGTTTTTCTCTTCCTCGCTACTTTTAGCGGTAGTAAGCATTACATCCTTAAGTCCTATAATAAGTTCTTCATTAAGTAGATGGTATTTGACTTAGGCTAGTGTAATAACGTTCTATGACTCGCCATCGTCGAGGCCAGAGTCTTTTTGGATAACGTTCAGTTGTCGAGTGACCTTATTCTTGCTTCAACAGTCTCGTGCCATGTGGCCTTCCTTGCCACAGGCGTAACAAGTGATTTTCTTCTTGTCCTTGCTATACTAACCCTTAGGTCCTTCGTTAGGCTTAGCGCGTCTGAATCCACGTCCTTTGTTGAGGTTGTCTAGGTGCATAGGTTGGGCACCATATCCTTGGTAGGATCCTGGCGTGGATGGCATGAAACTGCGCTGCCGTCCCGTGTTAGGAGGTGAACGTTGGTATTGCTGTTGACGAGGCTGATCGTTCCTATCCTGTTGTCGCGTTCCCTAATTAAATAGTTGTTCTTCTAGCGCTAGTTCGTATAAATTATTGTCGACTCTAATGGCTTCTTCTATGAGTTCTGCTAGCGTGTTGATGTTGGCTCCGCTTCTTATGAGTTCTCTGCGCACGGCTGGTTTGAGGCCTTGTTAGTACATGCGCATAAGTGCTTTGTCGTCCTAGTTAATTCTAGTAGCGTGTTGCTAGAATATTGTCGTGTAGTTGGCGGCTGGTCCTATCTGGCGTAGGGTTTGGATTTGTTGTTCCGCGACTACTAATTCCTTGAAGGGTGAGAAGTTCTGTTGGAGTTTGACCTTAAAAACGTCCTAGTCTTCCACTAAGGCGGTATTGTCGGCGTTAGTGATGGAGTCATCTATGTAACGTTGAATAATCAGGTTGGCCTATTTTTCTGCGTCACCTCGGAAGTAGGTGGTAGCCAAGACAACTTTGTCTTTGTCGTCAATCCTGTCGTCTTGTAGGTGGAAGAACTAGTCGACCTAGAGGATCTAAGCTTCGAGCTTGTTGCGGTCTCTATAGTACAAGTCGGGCTT